CCGTGTCTTGCACGGGCACACATTAGTAATATAAACAAAAGTGACATTTCATAGTATAAATATGCGTTTTTATTACTATAATATAGAGTAATGAAAAATCAAGATTTGTCCCTATTCGTTTGAGCTATTTTACTTCATAAAAAATATTTTTCTTTCATTCTCGTTATGTTAAATTATTTTAACGCTAAAATAAAATTTAAATAAAATGTTCATTAAATAATTAACAAGAATATGAATAGGTAAGCATAGTATTTCTATCTATTTACTAAAATACTTATAAATTATTTTCTAAAATATTAATCATTATTGAAGTTAACTTTCAATTTATTATCTAACAATCTATTTATTAAAACATTTACTCATTGTTTTCTAAAATATAAACAAATGCTGGAGTTAAGTTTCAATTTGTGATTTAAAACGTTGGATTGGATTTATCTAGAACAAAAACTAACAACAAGAATTTATATATACGAGAAATAGTAATTGTATATATATAGAAAAAATGTCAAAAGAATAATTTATAATTTATATAATAATTGTTTCAAATTATATAAAAATAGGTGTCCTATCTTATAAAACAACAAAGAATGAACACAACAAAGAATGAACAAGAAACAAAGAAAGTAGATCTGTCATTTACTTGTTGAAGATCCATATACTGCATTGATCGGAATGCCCTGAAATACAATCTGACACTTATAATAACATGTTATTAACCAGTTGAATAACATGTTATTAACCAGTTGAAGATCCATCGGAATGCCCATTCTGAAATACAATCTGACACTATAATTTGCATTCAACTAGCATCCCGAAATACAATCTGACACTTATAATTTATATTCGACTACATTTTATTCTTCAAAACTTGTGTTCAAAAACTTGGGTATACTCCTTGAGTGTTGTTGTTGAAGATCTTTCATTATTTTCTTCTTTTTCTTTAGGTTAATTTCTTGGTGTGTACTATTTTGACCAATGTGGTGGTCTTGTAGGGGGTTCAGGTAGAATCTCTAGTAAGTTTTAGTGGCTTTTCAGTCATAAAGTGATTGTAATCCGTTGATTACTCGAACATTTGTACTTTGGAGTGTTTTTGTTAATAAAGGTGCGTTTTATAGAAAAAAATGGAGTGTTTTTGTTAATAAAGGTGCGTTTTGAAGAAAAAAAAATTCATTGCAGTTCAGTATTTCAAATAAAAAATGATCTCATAAGTGCATTTGCACAGATATAAATAAATTATTCTGAGTCTGTACATATAATGATTATTTATTTTTCTTTCACTTTTTTGCAGACCAAATTTACAATTAAAAGAGTTGGAATATTTTTTTTTTAAATTGCGTTTATCTGATTGGATGTAATGTATATTTTGGTTCGTCTTTTATTTGTGAATTATTTATTATTTATTTAGGAATTTCAAATATATTTTTATTTTCAAAAAAAAAAAAAATTAAATGTAACAACAATAATAACATCTAATCACATTATATGATCAACACATTATATGGTCAACTGTCATTAATCAAAAGTTCAAAATGATTTTTGTAATTTTGAAGTGATGAGTATTAATTATTTAATGATTAAATGAAAGATTAAATATATCAAAATGTAACGGTTTTTGGAGGGAAAATTGTTAAATTGCCACATAGGTATAAATAGGTTTTATTAAATTCTATTAGCTAATAATTATATATATATATATAGATAAGATAGGAATGATATGGTATGATCAATGTTGGAGTTGTGGAAGGTTCTGCGAGTACTTAAAAGATATAACAAGTTAAAAGAACTCACACAATGTTATCCAAATATTCGATAGAACATAAAATTCTGGTTATGAGAAATATATAAATTTCCAACTCGAAAATCTTATTATTTATTATTAAATTCAAAGGGGAGAAATATTAGAAAAGTGTGATTTTGCAAAACTTAAGACACTCTCATCAAGTCTTCAAGCTTAGTTTATGCTTAGTGTACACGGATAATACATTACTTTTATTGATTAATAAAAATATTAGTTAGTGTGGTACACATATAATACCTTAATTTTATTTATTAAAAAAATGCGCAATAGATAATATGTTACTCTTAATTTATTTAAAAAAATGTATCAATTTTTCCTATTATACCTTACTGTTTATTTATTAAAAAACAAAATTGTCTTAAATATCATTTTGCCTATTATACTATATTAAATTTTAGGATTACTTGTAAAGTTCCAGGATAGTAAGCACTGTTGTGATGTGGAAATCTATTTCTATTTATAGGGTTGGACTTTACAATGCCAATTTTTCCATTATTTACACTAATGTTCAACGATTTGTGTAATTTAAAGTATATATAATAATGGAACTCCGTGCAAATGTGGGAATTAAAATATTAAAATGTCCTAATGAATTTTGTGTTTGGCAATTATATATTTACAAAATGAATAATAAATAAAAATGTGATTAGGTTTTCAAAAATAAAATGATATGAATACTTAATAATAAAAATAGAAAAAAGAAGAAAGCACACAACATTATGAAACTAAATAAGAAAAAAAATTATAGTTAGGATTTTTTTTAATATAGGCGTTTGAGGAAATGTTTAAATTTTATATTTTTTAAATTATAAATGATTATTCTTGGAGTGATTAATCAATAAACATATCCATTAATTTATATTTTTAAAATCAAATATATAGTAAGAATTGATTAATTGAGTGACAAAAATAAAAATAAAAATCTCACAACGGATGGTAAAGAAAAAACAAAAAGAAATAATCAAAATCTACAAAGAATGTTTAAAAAATCTTATTTAGTAACTTTTTTTTTTAAAAAAAAATATACTATTTTGGATAAATGCAAACCTTATTATAATAGAATATTTCTATGGTATGCTTGGTTAGCTGGTTAGATTGATTTCAATAGTTGATATTGATAGCTGTTTATAGTTTAGTGCTTGGTTATAATAGTTGATTAAATTCCATTTCATATATTGTATACATGTATAATTAAAAGTAGTAAAATAATAAAATAGATAATGACATATTTGCCTCGTGGTCAAAGGTGCTTTTCATATCAAATAATTCATAGAGTTACTAGAGAAAAGTCGGTGTTTGTTTATATACTATCTCAATTCATACTTAATTCTTAGTCAAAATTTAAATCAACTTTAACTCAATTCTATTATCATCAATATAATTAAATAATATCAATCAATTATTCTTATACATCATATCAATTTTAATTTACTATCACTTACACTTACTCACATAATTTTAACTAAGTATCACTTCTTATCATTTCTCTTTTACTTTCACATCAAATCAACTGTAATTGTTTTATTTTAAATATTATTTTAATATAAACTAAAAATTTCACTAATAACTAATTATATTAACTTTTTCAAAATTAATTATGGTTAACTAAAAAAACTCATTTTGACGAGATATATTTGTACCCAAACACGCTCAATTCCTGTGTTTCCTCACCGGCCAACACAAATTTGTGAGTGGGACAATCTAACTGTAGTTAAGTTGGGCAAATACAAATCTTGTGTGAGATAATATAATTGTTAGACACATCTGTCATATTATTTAAAAGAAAAATGCATACTAATAAAGTAATAAAATAATAAAATAGATAATGACATATTTGCCTCGTTGAATCAGCTCCAAAGGTCCTTTTCATATCAACAATTCATAAAGAAAGTTAATAGAGAAAGTCAGTCCCGCTATTTGAATTAAACACAAGTTTGTGAGAGAGTGGCCATCTTACTTTAGGCAGCTTCGACAAACACAAATTTTTATGTGAAGCAATATAATTATTAGGTAGGTCGTCATATTCTTGTGTGTAAACAGCTCAATCCCTTCTATTTTGATTATTCCAGTCCTATTGGGCCCAAATCTGTCTTTGAAGTCATCCATCGACCTCTTCAATTTCAGATCGAGTTTCCATCAGATTATCCTATAGTCCTAGTTCTACATGTTGTTGTCCTCATTTCAATGACCTCACATTTTTCCGACCAAATCAGTGTGTTGTCCGACCTCTAATCGAGCTACCGGTCTAATCAAACCGTCCGAGCTGCTCTCCAGTTATACGAGTTCTAGTGCTTGGTATGATATACCATCTCATTATCAATTGTAGTACTACGAGTGTGGAACAGAGAACCCTGAAATCAAACCGAACCGAAAATAATCGGTTCTGTCTGGTTATATAAAATAAATCCAATTCGGTTATTTTCTGCACAAATGGGTTTCGATTCCCGATTCCTATTCCAAATGTCTACGTATTAACAATAGAATCGACTATGTATATGCACAATATGCATTTTTTTAGATGCACTACCATGTTCTGATATTCTTGGTTTATATGATACATTCTTCATTGTTGTAGTACGATTTCGTCTGTTTTTTTTTTCTTTGGCTACTTTTTGTATGCGAGTTACAATTTTTAACCAGTTCTTAACCTAAAACTAATTATTGATTGTTTTAATGTAATTCGATTACCCGAGGAACTAGATTAACCAAACGGTGTTTTGTTCTTTTTCGGTTCTTGCAAAATTCAATATGTTGACCGAACAAGGTTATATTGATTGCCAGTCTCAGACCTTATCAAATATCATACTTTCCTATTTTTAATAAGTGTCCTTTTTAGAAATTGAACAGTAATTAAGAATCTTTTTTTTCGTCAATTTAATAATAGAGATGGATGTTTTCAGAAAAGATGAAGAGTGAATATGAAAAGACGTAGTGTATTTATTATCTAGATGAGTGTAATAATAAAAAATATGTACAAAAGATTCAAAACGTCATTTCTTTGGTTAATTGTTGATAAAACCAAAATGATATTTAAAAAAAATAAGAAGTATGTAATATTATTTATATGACATAAGTATGCTTATTTAAAAACGAAAGTAGAAAGAAAAACCTAATAGTTAGATCTTACTAACAGAAAACCTACATCACCAAAATAGAAAGAAAACAAAACTCTCCTTGAACAAGCCTATATAAATACATAGCTTTAGGAATTTTTTCTCCTCATTCCATGCTTGAGATCAAACATAACACTTGATCAAAAAAATAAAAAAAAAAAAATGGTGCAACTCCTTCTCCTCCTTCTCCTCCTCATACTCCCAATAATCTTTCTCCACCTCACGAAAAACCACAAGAAGAGCCCGACCGAAGCCCGGGTCCCACCAGGCCCACCCGGCTTCCCGGTCATCGGCAACTTGCACCACTTGGCCGCGGCTTCCGACGCCCCACACCTTTACCTCCATCACCTCTCCAAGAAATACGGGCCCATCGTGCGCATGGGCCTCGGCCCGAAGCCCATGCTCGTGGTCTCCTCCGCGAAGCTCGCGGAGCAAGTCATGAAGGCCCAAGACCTCGCTTTCTGCGGCCGGCCCAAATCCCTCGGCCAACAACGCCTCTCGTACGACTGCTCGGACATCGCCTTCTCCTCGTACGACGAGTATTGGCGCGAGGTCCGCAAGATCACGACCATCCATCTCTTCAGCGCGAAGAAGACTCAATTCTTCCGGCCCGTTCGCGAGGACGAGATGGCCCGGTTCGTGGCCCGGATTTCGGCCCGAATAACGGCCCGGCCTGAAGCCAGCGGCCGCCAGGCTGTCAATTTGAGCGAGATGGCGATTGAGCTCGGGAGCACGTTGATATGCCGGATCGCGTTCGGGAAGAGGTACGAAGAGGGCGGGCCCGAGATGAGGAGATTCGACGGGCTCTTGAAACGGGCCCAAGCCGTGATGGCTGCTTTCTATGTGTCGGATTATTTTCCTGTGTTTGGTTGGGTGGATAGGTTGCGCGGGTCGGTTGGAAGGCTGGAAAGGGCTTTCCGGGACTTGGATTCTTTTTACCAAGAGCTTATAGCAATTTTAGTNTTTTTTGATCATGTGATTTAATATTTTGCTGCAATTTCAGTCTTTTGAGGATTGAATTATCGCAATAAAATTTTAAATTATAGGACTTAAATTGCTAATAAAAAAATTTATAAATTTGGAAATTTGAACTGCAGCAAAATATTAAATCACAAGACTAAAAGGCAAAACATTAGAATCTCGAGACTAAAAATATTATGGTGTTAAATCAGCACGACTAAAAATACAATTTTAGCCATAAAAAATGTACCTTTAATTTAATCAAGCTTTTGAAATTATATCTATCTATTTATCTATTCAAATCTTTTGTAGAACATATTTATAGCGGCAACAGATACGAGCTCGGCATCGATCGTTTGGACCATGACGGCTCTAAAAAAGGCGCCACAAGTGATGAAAGGTAGACGAAGACGACTTGCCGAAGCTTTCCTATATGAAAGCGGTCATAAACGAGGTTTTTAGATTATATCCTCCGGCTCCATTGCTCGTCCCAAGAGAAACTATAGAAAAATGCACTCTAGATGGCTATGAAGTTCAACCCAAGACAATTGTCTATATTAACGCATGGGCGATTGCAAGAGATCCCGAGTTTTGGGAAAAGCCGAACGAGTTCTTGCCCGAGAGATTCTTAGAGAGCAAAATCGAGATAAAAGGACACGATTTTGGTGTGATCCCGTTTGGAGCCGGGCGAAGGAGTTGTCCCGGGATGTTTATGGGGCTCGTGAATGTGGAGCTCACGGTTGCGAATTTGCTCTATTCTTTCGACTGGGAATTGCCTCGAGGGGTTCGAGTCGAAGATGTCGATACAGAGGGTTTACCGGGTATAACGGTTCATAAAAAAAATCCACTTCTCCTTGTGCCTAAGAGATGCAACAATGTTACCTAGGTTTTGTGTTCTTGTATTATAAATCATTTCAAAGTAACTAGTGTGTTGCTTTTGGGCATATATATGCAATGTTGTTTTTAGGTGTTTCAAATATACTGTATTAAATCATTTCATACTAGCTAGTGTTTTGCTTTTGGGAATACATATATATATGCAATGTTGTTTTAAGTATTTTTTTAAATATACTGGTATTTTATAATGTGCCCATAGTTGGAGTACATAAATATAAAGTTGTAAGTATGAAATTAAAATAAGCAAAGTGTATATAAATTAATACAGACCCTTTTTATGCTTTTACGTACTTTGTGTGTGAATTATCCATCAAAGTTTTTAGTACGAATTTTGATATAAAATAGTCTAATAGTGAGATACATCAGCAAGTCAATTTCTTTTATATATATTAAAATATATTCTTTTACGGTACAATATGTTTCCAACAATGGAAATATAAAACCATAACAGCTTAAGTGAAAAATAACACAGCCCACTCCTTTTAACATATTAATTTGTTTGGCGAAAAAAGTTATTAATCAGAAGGAAATTGTTTTCCAAATTTGAATGGATAATAAGCATATGGTTCGAAACATTTGAGTAAGCAAAAAAAATTGCATTATGAACATCAGAACTAAGAAGAGACATCAGAGATATATAATGCTCTATAGAAGTGCTTATAGTTATACTCAATGGTGCCATTATTAAAAAACGATGACCATGTTAAAGGAATTTAATGAATAGTATGGATAGTGGAATTATTACTATCAAATAGTAAATTGATGAGTATATGAAAATTTTGCGAAGGAAATCAAACTAGACAACTGAATGTAATGAAAGAATACATATACATAAAAAAATAAAGAGAAAATCAGTATAAATTATATTCGATTTCTTTATTTAGTTCTTTATATTTTTTTCCACAATATTCATAACAATTAGTTAATAGATAAAAACAAAAAGATAGTCAACATTGCTACATTAGGCATTAGCCACGTTGCATATACACAGTATCATTATATTCTTTTTATATAATAATAATAATAATAATAATAATAATAATAATAATAATAATAATAATATAAAAAAGTTGTTGGAAAAATACATAAATAGTAATTTTGATTTTTTAATTAAATGTTTGACTTACTATTATAAGAAATATTTTTAAAAACACACGAGTTTAAGTAAAAAGGAGCAGAATCAATTTCATATACTGTTTTTTAGGAAAAAACAGGTGCATATTTTAAAAATAGATGTTACCTTGTCATTTTTCTTTTTCTTAACCACTTTTCCAATCATTTAGTGAATAAATTTCAAATTAATTTTCTTGATAAAGTTATCGGTGCATCTTTTCTAATGGTTTGTTGAACGATCTCATTTCCCAACATAATTTTGACAAAATCCTTCACTATTTTTTTTTTTTTTCGAAACGATAGAGGTATTATATAAATACGCACAAATGTACAAAAGTACAGCCACCAGCTGAATATAAACAGACAACAGCTGAATACAGACAGCCAACGACTGAATAAAATGGGAGGACAGATCAAAAGACCGCCTAGAACCTCGAAAAACTCAAAACACGACCGACACTAAAAGCTCCGAAGGGGAGAATAAAAAGAACAAAAGGAAAATAAAACGACCCCAACAGGGTAATGCCCGAGTGTGGGATCCCAGGGGAGAATAAAAAGAACAAAATCCTTCACTATACTTTCAAAATAATATACTTATAATTACATAGAAAACTCAATTTTCAAAATGAGATTAGATTTTTGGTGAATAGTTCCGATAAGTTTTATTTGGTAAAAAACGCGTGAATATACTATGATAATATGTATTTTTAGTAACATCCTATTCGTGTTTTCGTCCAAAAAATATTTAACAAAATTTGCAATTTAGGAGAATATATTTTATTTTGAGACATCCATAACATACTTTTTATAACATTCAATTTAGGCAAATAGAATATTTAATTTTGAGTAAGAATAATTTCAATTCAAATGACGCATTAATACAGTCTAAACTGATAATGTACAATAATATAAAAAATAATTTGATATGAAAACGCATCAATACAACCAAAATATAGAAAATTTGATATTTATTAGATGACAATATATCATTCTAATATTCACCATAAGTAAATGCGAATATGAAAAAGCAGTATCAAATATTCTTATCTATTATTTAGGCTGTGTTTGGTAAACCAAATAAGCTAGCTTATAGCTTATTTGGTTAGCTTATAAACTTTATGTATTCAAATAAGACTCATTTAGTAGGACGAACTTTTTTAAAAAGCTCGATCTTATCTCATAAGCTACCTTAGGTAGCTTTTCAAATAAGCTAGTTGAGTTTTTTTATCTCAGCTAGCTTATCAGTTAATTTTACTAAATACTTTTATTATATAAGCTAGCTTTTCAGCTATAAGTCCTAAATTATAAGCTATAAGCTTAAAAATTACATATAAGTTCTAAGCTAGCTTATCAGCTAGTTTTACCAAACATAGCCTTAATGAAAAAATTTAATTTATAAATAATAATAAATATTTTTACCTGCAATTTTAATTTATAAATATTAATAAATATTTTTATCATAGCAGGGAATTCGTACTAGTAAGTAGTAATAACGAGGATAATAATAATAAAAACTAAAAAGAAAGTCAACATTTCTCCTCCTTCCTCGTTTCACACTAACCATGAAACAACACGCTGACGGACACATTTATTGAAATGGAAATTCTGCCGTCCGTTAAAACCCATGGCTCGAAAATTCCATCACACAATCCATGGCGTCCCATTGATTCCAAGAGAAAAACCTTTTTCAGCACGAGATCAAATTTTGTTGATTGGGTCAGTTTTCATCACATAAAGGGCCCTAGATTAGTATCACAGAGCAATAATGGCGAAGGGGGGTCGATCGCGCAGCCATGTCTCGAGAATATGCCTCTTTCAATGGAGTTGGAGCCCATTTCAAGCGAAACCCAGTTCGATCGTGTTATCGCCGAGGCGCAGCAGCTCGAAGAATCACTCGTCGTATTATGGTCTGATATGGGTTTCTTTTTTTTTTTTTAAACAAAAAAAATTATCTGGTCAGTGATGTTCTTAAGCTGTTAGCATTGAAATTTATTGTTGTTTTTGAAATACATATTTTGGTGTGTATTTAGATGTTTTTTGTATTGTTGATNTTTGGATTGATATGTACTAGATTGCCAAGGTTTAACTGAGGTTATGGTTTGGTGTTGGGGGTTTTGAGCTATAGAATCTGCAGGACACAGTCAACGCCCCACGCACTGTTTTTCAGAAATTAAAATGTGATTTATGATTATGAGACTTCGAAGTGATGCTTGTAATAAAGTTGCAATCTTGCTTGAATAGTTGCAGAATGCAGATTTAAGAATTCAGACCAACATAAGTTTTTTCATGTGTAATTGAGTATTGGATAGGGCTGTGTACAAGTGGTTCATGAAGATTCTTGAAAAGACGAAAATGAATCCATTTTTCGTAGATAGGAAGTTCAAATTATGCAGTCCAAGTAAGAAAGAAAGGTTTTCCTTTGATTTTGTGTGAATTTTGTCCAAGTGGTTCATGAAGATTCGTGAAAAGAAAAATGGATCTATTTTTCGTAGATAGGGCTGTGTCAAGTGGTTCGAGAAGATTCTTGAAGACAAATATGAATTCATTTTTTGTAGTTAGGCAGTTCACATTGTGCATTCTTTATATGAAAAAAAAATGGTTTTCCTTTGATTTTGTGTAAATTTTGTAAGTAAGAGATGAATGTGATATATGGGGGGAAAATTCAGGAAATGTCGTAAGTATTGTTTGTGTTTTGAGAGGAAGAATGGGAAAGAATTTGTGTTTTGTTGAAAACAAAAAGAAAAAAAAATTGCTGAGGAGTCTTTGTTTTCTTCACGATATTTGCTAGTTAAATAGTGCGTTATGCTCTGTAAATCTGTCGAAACAGTGTTTTCTGTCATCTGTTAGAGTTGACCACTGGAGATTCTAGTTGATTTACAGCGATCTGTTTCATGCTTGTATTTTTTAAGGTTTTGAAGTTCCGCACAGTGTAGGGCTAATTTAATTCGGAGGAATTTATACGCAAGGTTGCATTCTCGAACGTTTGATTATATATGCCCCCAGGAATAAATGTATCTATATTCTCTTTTGGTTATCTTTAGTTAATGTCAGATGTATATGACTATTGCCATTTTTAACTGTGTATGCAGTATTGAATTTTTTACAGATATCACTGTTCTTCTCATACTTAGGCTTATTATGCATGCATTTTTTTGGCTGAGTATGTCAAGTATTTTGACCCGTAGGATGGCAAACTGGTGTAGGAAATGTATTTACCTAAAACCGAAGCTGGAAAAGTTAGCTGCCGATTATAATCCAAGGTGAGGTCTTTGTTTTTATTTTTTACGCACACTGATTGGTTCAAGTTCACTTTAATTTTCGGTGGAGGATCATTTTTCAAGCTTTTAGCTGTTCCGATTTGGGCCAAAATGAAATCTTTTACATAGTTACACAACCATTTTGATTCCATTCAAAATTTTACATGACTAATTGCAGAAATTATATTTTTTGTTATATCCTCCGTTCAAAGTAGTTTGGCCAAAGCTATTAACATCATTTATTTTTTGACCTTTTGATGTAGAGTGAGATTTTATTCTGTTGATGTCAATAATGTACCGCATAAGCTCGTGGTTCGTGCTGGAGTTACTGTAAGTTTATGTAGATTTTATTCTTCTGAGTCATTGACTTGTTATAGTAGATTCGAAAAACTAAGTAAATTTATGTAGTCATTTGAAATCATTGCCTACTGAATACTCTGCTCGAAAATTGTTCCACCCCATATTTCTTTTCTGTATTATCCGGCATTTCACATTTGTTCGAAAATGATTTAATTGAAATGTGAAATCATGGAGATACTTTGATTCATCTTCTATAGACACATTTCTTTATCTTTCACCAGATTTGTCTCGACAAAGTGTCTGGAATTAAGACAGGGACTAACGACTTTTTTTTTTNATGAAAATCGAGCAGAAGATGCCTACGATACAGGTACACCTCACGAACGATTTTTATTTATTTTTTTTTCTTGAAGACTTCGAAGAATCCGAGTTCACTGTGTTTGTGTTTCTTTCTGTGAATGTTGCCAGCTTTGGAGAGACAGCAAGAAACAGGCAGAGGTGATCGGAGGTCATAAAGCGCATTTGGTAGTTAGTGAGGTTCGAGACATGATAGAAAACGAAAATCGCATATAGAAAGAAAATTTTTCAGGGTACAATTAGATTACAATTAAAGTGTGACACTTTGATCCAAGGGATAGATACTATGATGATCTTAAGCTTCTTATGAACAATAATTTTGCAAGCCTTCTCAAAGTGCGAGACTTTGAAGGGTATAGTGTCGTTAGGGCTGTAAAAGAGCTAAGCCGAGCTAAGCCCATGGTGCTCGAGCTCGAGCTAAAAATCGAGCTCGAGTTCGGTTCGTTTGTCAAAATTAACGAACTGAACTCGAGCCTTAACGAGCTAAACTCGAGCTTTTTAACGAGCTGAACTATAAAAGATTATATAAAAATCATATTTTCAAGCGATACATACATGATGATGTCATATTTGTACACGTGTCTTTCATCCAACGTAATAAAACTTTTAACGTAATAAAACATAAAAGTGGAATGATAAAAGTGGAATGGAGATGATCCTATACCATCACGAGAGCATATAAAAGTAGAGATTTAATAAGTACAACCCCAAAAACAATCATGAATGTACGTTGATTACAAATTAAATAAATGATGAATAATACGAAGACACTAGTGTGATTGAATATTGTTCAGGGGGAATATATATGTGATTGGATATACTTCTTGGGGGAATAAATATTTCATTACGTAGATTTCTTTTATTGTAAAGATATATTTTTGAAATTGTGGATGAATATAAGATTTATAAATGATTAAAATTGATGAAAAATAATTTAATAATATGTGAGAAAATAAACCCTGAATTTTTGTTGTAAAAGGTATAGTAATAAGCTATTCTTATATTTTACCAGTGTTGAGGAAAAAAAATAGAAGAACAGTAAATTATTTGAAAAAAAAAAAAAAAAAAAAAATGAAAATACGTTTCTCAAACTAATCACTTTCAACTGCTAAAGCCATATATTTCCTCACTTTATTTCTCAACCCAAGCCAGTAATTTGGCCACACAAGACAAGATCTTTGCTTTGACAAAATTTCGATTTCAAACTTCAAACGGGCTTAAATCATTTTTCACTATAATTTATGTGCGACATTTGTTACTATTATTCATAGATTTTTTGGTTTATATATCTTAGCATATAGCCACATTCACCAAATATAACATATTTCATTATTACTTTTTATCTAATTTATTCTTCCCCTATATATATATATATATATAATGGTGAAATATGTGGTGAATATGGTTATTTGCTAAGATCTGAAGAGTACATTCCTACATTCCTTTGTTTGGTTGGCCATGCACGTAACAAACAACAACATTCACATAATAATTATCATCTCTGTTTTTTGATACCCTTTTGTTTCAAATCCAAAAACTATAATCATTTGATTCAGATCACATTTCATTCTCCTGGTGAGTTTCCTTATCTCTCTCAAGCTCCATCATTCATTCATTCATGATTCCAATGTTCTTCTTAATCTAGATCAGCTCTGATGTGTTGTTCTTGTTTCTAAAGATCGAGTTTTTCGTATTTCCCACATTCAATTTGGTTCTAACTTGTGCCGTTTTTCAAATTTTCCATTTTTCGGTGATTCTTGTTTTTTCCATGCCACGCGTTGTTCTGTTTGTTTACGCGTTTCACCTTGATCTGATGTGCTCGATTTTGTTTTTGTTTTTTTCCCCCTTTTTGGCTTCAAGAAAAAAAATCAAGGATTTCTGTTCGGGAAGCATTTGTTCGTTCGGCTGCGAATGTGAGGTCGAAATTTTTTTTTAGGTGTTATTCTCTACACAATATGAGAGGCTCGGATTTACAAAGCGAACTCGATTCGCTTCTCTTACAAAAACAGCAAAACCGAGCTCCGATTTTCGAGCGCGACTCGGAAATCGACAACAGGTGCGGAAGCGCGCCCCCGACTGTCGAGGGTGCGTTAGCCTCGGCCACAAGCCTTTTCAACCATCCCGACTTTGCGAAAATCTACGAAACAGGAAACAACATCAGTGCAACCTTAAGCGTTTTGTCTGAAGACGAAATCCGGTCCCACCCGGCTTACTTAGAATATTATTACTCGCACGAGAATCTCAATCCAAGGCTTCCACCACCAACTCTATCAAAAGAAGATTGGAGGGTCGCGCAGCGGATTAGGGCCGCGTTTGGTTTGAGCGTAAATTCGAGTGATGTTAGTAGTAGTTTCGGCTCGTCTCTTTTTACGATGCAGCCGGGTTTGGGTTCGTCTGTCAAAAAAAGCGACGATGAGTTGAAGGAGCTGAGAAAAACGGCTTTAAGGAACTTATCGAGGAAAAATTCGGTCGAGTCGTTCGAGAAGAATTTGAGCAGTTCGGGTTCGGGTATGGGAGCTCGAAGGAAAAGCTTTGCTGATATAGTTCAGGTAATTTTAGATTTTCTTGTTTTTTATTTTTTATTTTTTTTCGCTTCGATTCGTATATATAAGGCTATGTTTGGTAACTAAATAAGGTAGCTTATAGTTTATTTGGTTAACTTATAAGCTTCGTTTGGTAGGATGAGTTTTTTTAAAAAGCTCAAGCTTATCTCATAAGCTTCTTTGGGTAGCTTTTCAAATAAGCTCGTTGAAATTTTTATTTCAGCTAACTTATCAGCTAATTTTACCAAACATTTTTATCATATAAGCTAGTTTTTCAGCTATAAGTCATAAATCATAAGCTATAAACTCGAAAATCGCTCATAAGCTAGCTTATCAGCTAGTTTTACCAAACATAGCCTAAATGTTTTGATTTTTGAATTACAGGAAGGGCGTGGCCAGCCGGCAAAATCGAACCTTTCACGTGCTGCTAGCCAAAGCTCGGTTGCTGACGTGGCAGATTCTACGAGGAAGACAAAATCGGAACCTCCCGAGTCAAGTAGTTTCTCCTCCTCGCCGAGCATTTTCGAGATTGCTGATATTGCTGCCACGCTTTCCGCTTTAAACGCTTCTCGAGGATATTTTCAACCTGAAAATCTACCTTTGTCTGCTCTGCAAATGAATATTTTGGCGGGTAATAAGCTGAGTCAGCAGCCAGAAAATCTCGTCAGTGACGTTAATTTAAGAAGGACGAACGAGTATCCGAGGAGGACTTCTTCGACTAGTAATCTTCTCCAGTTCCAACATAATAATCCTTCTGATATTATTGCAGGTTTGATTTTTTTATTTCTTTTTCTATGATTGTGTGTGTATATATATATATATATATATTTTGGTTGAAAATGGTTTTGTAATTTGCTTCAGGCTCGAATCCCGGAGGTTCAAACGTGCCTGGATTGATTTCGAGAAGCTCTGCTCCACCTGGATTTCACCAAATCCAATACTTGCCGAAAGTGCCACATCATCATCCGGCAAACTTTCCGCATAGTCATGATGATTTACGGGCTTTGGAGAAAGCTTATCTCGAGGCATTGCTTCTTCAGAGGAGACAGCAATACGAGTCGCTCCTTCTACAGACGGCAAATGCTGCACTTAGCCCACCTGCAGTTGTTTCGAGAGCCACGACGACATGTCAGAAGGAGAAAATTACGAAATCGCCCTCGAGTTCGAAAAATGTTAAAAAGGGAGAATCGAGTGGAAGAAGCAGTCCGAAAGGAAGATTCGAGTATCTTTTGGAAATGGTCAAGAACAATAAGAGCATATCTTTGGAGCTCTCGGATATTCTTGGTCATGTTGTCGAGTTCAGGTAATCGATAAGAAGCATCCAAAAAGGGTATATTTATTATTTTGGTTATATTTTAAGAGAGTGGTTGAAAATCTATATATGCTCTTAAAGTAAGTTCTTTGTTGTAGCTAAAAGTTTATATAGTTTTGCAAATAGAAGCTAAAAGTTTAGCTAAAAAGAGGATGTTTTTGGCAATAAGTCACAAAAATGTTTTCTTGTGTGTGAAATTTAAGTAAACAGCAGAGTATATAAATTTTTTCTCATTAATTTTNTTGATACAGTACGGATCAATTCGGAAGTCGCTTCATTCAGCAGAAGTTGGAAAGTGCAACTGTTGAAGAAAAAACAAAGATACTCACAGAGATTATTCCAAGTGCTCGTACCTTAATGATCGATGTCTTCGGAAATTACGTGATACAAAAGGCAACATTTTTATTATTTTTTCCACACTTAGAATCTTTGTTGGGAAGAGATAAGTAAGTTTATGAGGCTAATTGGTTTTTGTTTTAATTTTATTTTACGTATATGATAAATAAACAGTTCTTTGAGCACGGTACTGAAAGCCAACGCAAAGAGTTAGCAGGGCATTTGATTGGTCATGTTTTGCCTCTCACTCTACAAATGTATGGCTGCAGAGTTATACAAAAGGTATTTGCTTCATCTTTATTCTCTAATTTTCCTTTAAAGATGCTTATAGATCCATTTTGTTGTCTAAGTTCAGTTCTTGTGTCTTGAGTTTTGAAATAAGGTAAAGTTATATAGATTCATTTTATTACAGGCTTTGGAAGTAGTTGATACCGAGCTTCAGACTAAGATTGTAAAAGAGCTCGATGGATTTATCATAAAATGTGTTCATGATCAAAATGGTAATCACGTCATTCAGAAATGCATCGAGCGTGTTCCTCAAGATCGCATAAAGTTTATAATAACACCGTTTTTGGGACAAATCGTGACTTTATCCACGCATCCTTATGGATGTCGTGTAATTCAGGTTAAAAATGTTTTTTTTTTTCTCTCTCTCTCTTTTGTTCGATANTACATTTTTTCCTGTGTGGTTCCACTGCATTTTTTTTTTTTCGTCTTCAATGGTTGATCAAAGATTCGTGAATTATGCTAAAAAAAAACTTGTATTATTCGTGCAGCATGTTGTGCAGCACGGGAAGCCACACGAGCGTTCTGCAATAATCGGGAAGCTCGCTGGTCAGATTGTGATGATGAGTCAGCAGAAGTTCGCGTCTAATGTTATCGAGAAGTGTCTGATTTACGGTGGTCCCGAAGAGCGGCAACTTCTGGTGAACGAAATGCTTGGCTCGACTGATGAAAACGAACCATTGCAGGTGTGTGTCGTCACATTGTGTTCACAACTTAAAGCATTTGGTTTCTTTCTTAATCGGTCTTAAAAGGTGTATTTTCATGCAATAATTCGCTTGTGACTCGGGACTTAGGCTGTGTTTGGTAATCATATAACCTATATTATAGCTTATAAGCTTCCTGTATTCCAATAAATTTGGTTTCGCTAGGACAGAGTTCATAAGCTTCATTAGGTAGCTTTTTAAATAAGCCCATTGAAGTTTTTTTTAGCTAGCTTAGCTTATCAGTTAATTTTACCAAACACTTTTATCATAAAAGCTAGCTTTTCAGCCATAAGTCGTAAGCTATCAGCTATAAGCTCGAAGTTTATTTAAAAGCTATAAGATATCTTATCAGCTAGGTTTACCAAACATAGCCTTACTAGAAAGGAAAATCTGAAAATAATTCCCGAAATCGCAAACTTTTGCAGGCTATGATGAAAGATCCTTTTGGGAACTACGTCGTGCAGAAGGTACTCGAGACGTGTGATGACAAAAGCCGAGAGTTAATTCTCTCACGAATCAAAGTTCACTTGACCGCACTCAAGAAGTACACTTACGGCAAACACATTGTATCTCGTGTGGAAAAACTTATTGCAACCGGAGGTAAGTCCATCTCGGCACACTAAAACTCTTCTTCCTTTTTACCCTAACCGAACCATAATTTTCCAAACCGACCCCTCATCTAACGATGATTTTTTTTCGACAATGCTTTGTTTGCAGAAAGGCACATCGGACAATCTTCCTCAAACTCCTCTTGAAATAATCCAATTGTATGCAAAGATCGAAGAACTTCTTTAAAGAAAGGCCGACTCTATTATACTTCGCGTGAGGCTTCGATTCGTTGTATGTGGCAGTAGTAACATAGGATTTTTGCGCTTTGTGAGGAAATAATGACACCAAACACAAAGAAAACTTTTTTACAATCTTTATCAGGGATATATATGTTTTACCAGCTTTTTTCTATTTGATATGGAGATTTTCAATATGAATGTTTTCTTCGCAATGGTTAATGTGTATCCTTTTATCTCCCTTGCTTAGTTACATGCAGTGTTAGTAATCGAACCAAACGAGCCAATGCTTGAGCATTTCGAACTCGTACAAATTTATAGTATACTGTAACAATTTGTGTCTACTAAATAGTTTTTTCGACTATCTAAGGAAATTGATCGGTATTGATCATTTTCGTCGGAAATCACACACGAGCAACTCATTTGCTGCCGGAATTTGTTGAGTCAAGGCTTATGTGGCTGTTCTGTTATGTTAATTTCCAGGTAAATTAACCTTTGATACTTGGTATATATAGTTCATCATTTAATTCAATTTTTTATGACGATTTTGTGTGTGAACGTTGTAAGTTTATCTCAATCATGTTTGTTATAAAAAAATTATTTAATAGTCTTTATGTAATACCTATCAAGGTGTAGATCATATGTACAGACTTGGTGAACAATCTATAAGCTAATCAGTCGAAAATAGGTTGCTTGCACACAATATTCAATATGAAAGCCAAAATAAACCTCTAAATCAAAACATATTTTAGACTTATTAAGACTTCTCAAAAATCTAATTTATTTACAAACTAGATAAAATTCAATGTGTAGATATTTACAGTGGGTAAGAAATGAGAAGTGACCATGAATGAAAGAAAAGAGAGAATCTTGTCACCAAAAATTGCTATGTGCAAATATGGATATGTACATTCATCTTCTTTTTCCTCCTTTCTATTGTCCTATGGTTTTGTCTAACAAAGGCATAAATCCACAACAAAGAATTGAACTAAGCTTTCTCCTCTTTCTAAAATTTGGTAGAAAATTATCAGAAAACGGCGTTACCACCACCATCGCTTCTTTTTCTTGCTCTTCATAATCGGTAAT